CAATCCCCGTTCAGTCCTTTTTTCTACTTGAAACAGTTCAGGGCCGGCTGTGGCCGTTTGGTTTTAATTGGAAACTGTCTCTTTAAATTTCGAGGAGATCTGTGTGCATGCATAGTAGAACCCTCCGACGGTGGGGCTGGGGTGTTCACTAGCTCAGGCACCCCTATAGTCACCAGAAGGGAGGTGCTCAGACAGCAAGGGACCAATGAACAGATACCAAAAGAAAGAATGTCCACATCTTTATCTCAGCGGTTCTGCCAAGCGTCTGTGGCTGCTCCTATCCTTCCCTGGCTTGGTCTCACCCAAGATGGCGGCTTGTGGAGCAGCTGAGCGTCCCAAACTAGAAAGCGATGGATTTCTTGCTTCTGCCACAATTTCCACCAGCTGTAAGCCTTCCAGCCATATAAGTATTCCTTTATATGTGGTTCAGAGTTCTGGGACCATCCCCTGAGCCTGCTTGGTCGGGTATTCTGTGTTGTTGTTGGCGGAGTTCTTTACTGCACTTCCACTCGTTCCGCCATCTTGTTTGTTCTTTTATTGATATATTTTTGAGGAGCAAATTAAAATAATTTCAAACATGACAGTTACCTATCTGTCCCTGATAACTGGAATTTACTAGAGACTTGAGTGCTGCATTTGGAGAGTTCATTGAGCTTTTTACCATAGTTTCTGTATTATGCTTGTATGTGATAGAAGCAGCTTCTTCATAGTATGTCTTCTCTAAACAAAGTGTATGCTTTCTGTGAACCTTCCCCTTGAAGGAAGACATTTTCAGTCTTTTGAAAATGAGGAAGGAAATGGGATATTGTAATTGAGTTACCCTTAAGAGCAGCAGTATGGAGACTTAAAAGGGAAGGCACATGAAGGTAAGAAATTCTCGGAGTTTACCCTATTTCTGGGTAGACTAGTTTGAATTCTGAGGCACAGAGTTTGAAGTGGCTTAAAACCAGTTCCTTAGCATGATTCATCAGAACAGTCTCTATAAGAGAATGCCTAACTATTCTAATTCATTGCCCCTTTACCAGTACAGGAAGAAACACCGTGTTCTATTTCTTCTCCACATCAAAAGACTTTATTCTGAGTTTCATCTGACCCTTAAATAGGTCCTTTGCTGTAGTGGCGCTTTAACAGAAACATCGCAAGTGGATGACTAACAGATTTTTTTCTCAGTTTTAAGAGGCTAGAAGTCCAAATTCAGGGCACCAGCTTTAAGGGCAGCCTCCGTCTCTCTGTAGGCTCTGAAGAAAGGTCCTTTTCTCTTTGAGCTTCTACTCCTAGATGATCATCTTGTGGCTTGTCATCTTTCTTCCCCTTTCCCTAGGAGCTACTGGATGCAGGGGCACTAGAGAAAAAGAACGGGCTCTGCCATTCCTAGTTCTTTCTTGTTCTGTCTTTCATACTTCAAGAGATTGACTGAAAATACAGCCTAATTCTATAGATGGCATACTGCCTCATTACTATAGCTGCCTCTCATCCTGCCTCATTAACATTGTTGTTGTTAAGTGCCCTGGAGTCAGTTCCCACTCAGTGACCCTGCACAGGGTTTCCAAGACCGTAAGTCTTTATGGGAGTAGAATGCCTCATCTTTCTTCCGCGAAACTGCTGGTAGTTTCAAATTGCTGTCCTTGAGGTTGGCAGCCTGACTCGTAACCACTACTCTACGAGTCCCCTCATAAACATTATAGACGTTAGGATTTACAACATATAGGATAATTCACCAGATCATAAAATGGAAGATAACTAAATAAACTGAGAATCATGAACTAGCCAAGTTGACTCATATTTTGGAGGAACACAATTCAATTCAATCCATAATATAATCAAAGGTTTAGATTTTACTCATAGCCAGATTGTTTCATTCAAAAGTTAGGATGTTGTTGTTTGTATCAAGTCTATTTCAACTCATGTTAACCCTAAAGGACAGAGCAGAACTGTCCCATAGGATTTCTGAGGTTGTAATCTTTACAGGAAGAGATCACCAGGTCTTTTCTTATGTGGAGTTTGCTGGTGGTTTCAAACTGCTGACTTTTCAGTTAGCAGCTGAATGCTTAACTGTTGTGCCACCAGGGCTCCTTTCACAAAATATGTCACTCATGTTGCTTTTTTTTTTTTTTAAGAAATAAACATTCACAATCTAAAACGACTACCTTTTTCTACCCCGTCTTTACTACAGGTTCCCCCATCCTTATTATATGAAGGACTTTACCTTTTCTGACATCTTGTGAGTTATGGGGCAGATGGCAGTTGGGAATAAAGCTGCTTCCTTCTTAGTGCTAGCAGAAACTTGGCAAACTTTGGAGAAGTCAACTTGGCATTTAGGCTAGATTTAATATTTAGTTTAGGATCCTGCCTCAATGTTGCAAGTGGATGAAAACTGAGTGTTTAGTATTCCTTTTCAGTCCAAATAATAGTTTCTGTTCCCAGAAAAAGGGATGATATTCCAAAGCCTATGCATAACTTCTGGCTTGAAAAATGCAGGTAATTGATACAAATTTTACCGTAGATGATGATAACTTAGATATCAGCATTAACAAAGAATCTGTAAGTTGTAGGAGTCTATATTGCAGCCTGTCAGTTGTGTACCTACCTGCTTGGTCTGAAACAAGAGACAATGAAACTGCAAGTGACTGGTAACGTGCTTTTCTTTTGTTAGGGACAAATATTGGGTGTCTTGTTTGGCAGGTTAGATCAGTAAAGTAATGTTACATAAGATTCATCTATTCACTGCAGAGAAGCCAAGTGTCAACCTTAATTTTACTTATAAATAGGCCATAGAAACCTATTTATTACATAATGTATTCATTGTTGCATTCAGGCATTTGCTTAGATTCAAGGCATATTAGGACATCCATTATTGGAGCTGAATGTCAGGAGTTTCTGTGCTTAGAAAACAGTGTACAAGACGGTAAGAATGGGGAATAAGAGTATTTCAATAAGCTCCTTGTTTGAGTAGCACAGATTTTGTTAGCTGAAAGCAGTCAGAGTGTTTCCATAGTTATTAAGGGAAATAACACTTCTAAATTACTGTCTTTTAAAATATTCATAACTTGAATTGCAAGTCACTGATTGAATTGGACAGTGAACATCCACTTTTCCAGAAGTAAGACTGTTGAAAAGAATCCCTCAAAAGAAAAGTTGAAATGTCTTCATAAGCATTCATTTAAAAAATGAAAAGTCTGTCTTGGATCCAGGACTTGAACTTTTCACTATATATGATGTTGGTGATGCATCTTCATTCAGTTGTGACCTTGTTTTGCTTCATTTCAGATGGGGCATTCTCTTCTCCCACCCACGGGACTTTACCCCAGTGTGCACCACGGAGCTTGGCAGAGCTGCAAAGCTGGCACCAGAATTTGCCAAGAGGAATGTTAAGTTGATTGCCCTTTCAATAGACAGTGTTGAAGACCATCTTGCCTGGAGCAAGGTAGAGTACCAGTGGCATGTGCTTTGAGCCTATGGTTGTAGATTATAGAGATTAGCTTGGTTTATGAGGTGAAGGTACAAGTAAACCTCGGGTTCATACTTCAGTGATTATTTGAAACTCTAACTTGGATTGCACAGTGACCTTCACGTTAATAAACCAACGGTCAGTTTTCAGCCCTCATCTCTGTTGGCCTACCCAACTGATGACTCAGCTGATCCTGAAGCATGTTCCTGCCTTGGTTTCCAGAACATCACAATTCTTGCTATTCTTGCTCAAATACATGGATTGACTATTCATCATCTCCCAGCTCCTAATTCATGCTGGAGCTGTCTAAAACTCATTTCCTAGACCTCTCTTTTCTCTCTACACTCTTTTCTTTGGTGTATTCATCCACTCACATCTTCAGATGCCATCTATGCTTGATTCACAAATTTCCATCTCAGTGCCAGACTCTCCTATTTTCCAGTGTGGTTTAACCACTGCCTACTTGGTATCTTCTCTGAGCTGTCCAGTCCTCTCAAACCCAATTGCCCCAAACTGGACCACTGTTTGTACACATCTGAAGTAATGGCAACTGCATTTTTTTTTTTTTTTTGTACAGGCCAAAAATACAGGAGCCATCCTTAACTCCTCTTGGTTTTTCACATTGCATATCTGATTTATCAGTAAGCTTGTTGACTTTCCCTTCAAAATAAATTCAGAATTATATTTGGAAGCCTCCTCGAGGCCTGGGTTATCTATGTGGCTTAATCTCACCTCTTTGGGTCTCAATTCAAATAACACCCATTAAGGCTCTCCTTGGCCTCCATATCGAAATTTTAAACCCATACTCCCTTGGTTTAATTTTCCTCTTTTGCTCTTGTCACCATCTAAAATATTCTACGTATTGCTTTTGTCATTTGTTTGTCTCTCCTCACCAATAAAGGCTCCAGCAGGATAGAGACTGGTTTTGTGCAATGCTGGAACAGTACTTACTTATTACTCAATACATCCTAGGCACTCAGTCCATATTTGTTGAATGAAAGAATTGGAGGAATTGTCTACTTTCTACAAGAGGACTTATTTGGGCTGCAATTTTGATTATCTAAAGAGCTCTGGTAGCATAGTGGTTACGAATCGGGCTGTGAACCGGAAGGTCAGCAGTTCGAAACTACCAGCTGCTCTGCAGGAGAAAGATGAGGCGATCTGCTCCCGTAAAGATTTACAGCCTCGGAAACCCTATTCAGGGTCGCTGTGGGTCGAAACCGACTCGACGGCACTTAACAACAACAAAACTTGCTTAAGAACATTTTAAAGACTTTTCTATATAATATGCTAATTAATACTAAGGCTAGCTAACTTGTGGGAGAGCACTTCACATGCACCTGAATAAAAGATGTTGTATTCTACTGACTGGTGAGATGCTGACCTGGGGCTGCATCCCATAGTTATTTCATAGCAGTTTATCATAAGTGTATAGGAAGATTCATGCATGCATAGGAAAAAAGGAAAGGATAATTCTATTTCTTGAGGTGGATTTTTTTTTTTTTCATGTCATGTTTGGCAGTGAACGTTAACTGGCATTTCTATAGTATTTTCACAGACAGTTTCTCATTAGAATCTAGCAGTGTCCCTTTAAGTGGAGAGATACACGCATTCCCTGGGGTTACAAATGAAATCAGGTCCTAAGTGTGTCTTTAAGTTGGAGTTGTAGGTAAGTCAGAACAGGTACATACAATTCTTATTTTGGCTTAATTGAGTGCAGGAAAAGACCCAAAGCATTTTCAATGATTTAGAAGTTGCACATGCATGTGAAAATGATTGTCATGAAAAATTTCTTGTGAGTAAGGGTTGGTTCAGTCCTTTCAAAGTTAGGGCAAGTTTACATAATGGTAAAGGTCAATTAGGAGTCCTGGTGTAGCATTATAGAATAAGCACTGGACTGTTAACACGAGGTTAGCGGTTCAAACCCACCAGCCACTCTTTAGAAACTGTATGTAGAGTCATGAGTCGGAACTCACTCGATTGCACTTAACAACAGGAGTCATCCAAGCCCTGGTGGTGCAACGGTAAAGCACTCAGCAGCTAACTGAAGGGTCAGGAGTTTGAATCCACCAGTTGCTCTGCTAGAGAAAAATGTAGCAGTCTGTTCTATAAAGATTACAGTCGTGGAAACCCTGTGGAGCCCTTCTACTCTGTCCTGTAGTGTCACTAGAACTTGGAACCAACTTGCTGGCAATGGGTTTGACTTTTTTATAGGAGTTCTCCCTAAGTTGGACTCCTAGTAGGGTGCTGTAGGATTAGCACTGGACTGCAAACCTCTAGGTTGGCAGTTCAAACCTACCAAATGTTCCTCTGAAACCCTATACAGAGTCGCTATGAGTTGAAATCAACTTGACAGCACTTAGCAACAACAAATCCTAAATTGAATTTTTGGAACCTACAGATTACATATTTGTTTTTGTCCTCATCTCTTTGGCTCAGAGTTGGAGGGACTTGCTTAAGGTTGCCCAGCTAGAAAATGGATGGCAATGTGATTTGAACCTCAAACAAATGTTGTTTTTCATATTAGATGGTGGTGTGTAGAAATTAGCCTGATTTAGATTAAATCAAAGGAGCTCTAGTGAACTCAGCATCTAACTGAAAGGCTGCTAGTTTAAACTCACCCGGCAGTTCTGCAGTAGAAGGACCTGGTGATCTGCTTCTATAAGATTGCCATCAAGAAAACAGTATGGGGCAATTCTACTCGCTATGAGTCAGAATCACCTCAGTGGAACTAGGTTTTTTTGTTTTGACATAGAATATAGCCAAAGTATGGTTCTTTGTTGGGTGTCTATAGTAATGCTTATCATGCAAGTGACAAGAGTTGTGTAATAATTCATTGCATCTTTAAAAGTCCATTATATAATACCTTTTAAAGTATAGGAGCATAACCAGATTCATTTTCACTGATGAGCTTCTGTCTTAGACATTTTCAGAAACAAGTTCCACCCATCTGAAGTCCAAACTTTGACAACCGGTTATACCGGAAACTTCAAGTTGCCTCCAGCATGAAACTGTATTGATTATTACCTAGTCGTGTCAGCTTGATATGCAGCCATGACAGCAAAAGAGAAATTGGTATTCATTTGTTGCTTGAAATAGATAGCAACAAGTGAATCCCAATAGCAATAAGAGCTCCTTGGGTTATGCTTTGCTGTGTGCCGTGGAGTTGATTCCAACTCATAGCGACCCTGTACAGGGTTTCTGAGGCTGTAAATCTTTACAGGAGCAGAACGCCGCCTCATCTTTCTCCCACAGAACAGCTGGTAGTTTCGAACTGCTGACCTTGCGGTTTATAATCACTACGCTACCAGAGCTCCTTGGTTTATGCTTCGATATGCATATATTCTATCAATATTCTCTCCAGCAATACTCTCCTTTGAAAATCTTACCCATTCTTTAAAACACCAGGTGGAAATCCAACCTTTCTTGAAGTCTTTCCTGACTTACCAGCCTTCCATGCAGTATTTAAATTCTGCCACTAAATTATTACAAGTGTGTTTGCTGTTGCTTCATATGGGAATCATCTAACCAGGTTAGACATTCCATTGAAGGCAGGAACTATGTCTTCCTCATCTGTATTGCATATGTACTTAACTAGAGTGCTTAGCCCTGGTGGTCATTGTTTGATCAAATAATGAAGCTATTTCCTCCCCCACACCCTCAGAAGCTTCCAGGGATAGGGAAAGTAGAAGTGAATGATTGAATGACATTTTATTAGGGGAGTGGAGCACATTATTTTCTTTAATACAGACTTTAAATGGTTGGGTTTTCTGTACAGATTTTTGCCCTAGTATAAGTTTACCTTTGCCATTTCACACATCAGAGATTTATCTTTGATTTATCCTTAAAGTATACAGTGAGCTCTCCATTCTTATGTCTGCTTTATGTTTTGTGTTTTGTTCATTTCTTTGTACTTCCTGATACGTTCTATGCATACTGTTTAAATCATGCTTACTGTCTCTGTTTGAGGCAGATCAATAGAATTCTTTGCATTTGACATTTCTAGCTGTGATGAACATAATGAACCCACTGTTTCTAATGGTCTACATTATTTGGGTACTCAGATGTACCTTGGACTGTGAACTAACTATATACATTATTTAGCCTTTAAATAGCTTACTGCTGCCTTCTAAATGCAGTGAAATCATGCTGAATTTTAAGAGTTATTTTCTCCCCTTTTACCTGCTTTTCAGGATATTAATGCATACAATGGTGAGGCACCCACAGAAAAATTGCCTTTTCCCATCATTGATGATAAGAATCGGGACCTTGCTATCCTCTTGGGCATGCTGGACCCAGCAGAGAAAGACGAAAAGGGCATGCCAGTGACGGCTCGAGTGGTGAGTCTCAGAAATCCATCTTATGGTCCACGTGACTAACAAGGAGGTTGTATTCATGTAAATAAATGCTGGGACCAGTTAGAGGAAAAGTGGAAATGTCTCTAATTACTGTATTGGTGATAATCTCATTTGTTAATCTATAATGCCAATGCATTTTCCAACTAAACTGTTAAACAGCTTCATTCATAGCTATAGGTGGTGGTGGTGGTTATGTTTTGTGCCACAGAGTTGCTTCTGAGTCATGGCGACCTTGTGTAGGCTTTCCGAGGCTGTAAATCTTGATGGGAGTAGAAAGCCTCATCTTTCTTCTGCAGAACCATTGGTAATTTCAAACTGCTGACCTTGAGATTAGCAGTCCGACTCGACTCGAAACCACTTTGCTGCCAGAGCTCCTGCATAGCTATCAGAAATCTCCATAAAAATAAGCAGTTCTTGGAGTGCATTTAGAACCCCAGGTGGTATAGTATACTCACCACTATACTAATGAGGGCACCATTCTACTAAAGAAGGTAGCTGAAGTCTAGAAGTAAAGAATATTTTCTACAACTTTACTGAGATTTCCTTCATAAAGCAGCTGGTTTTTAACTTTTTTTTTTTTTTTCATTTAATATTTATTATTGGTGTCTGTATCTACAACCAAACATACATCCATTCACAGTTTCTACATGAACAATTGAATGACATTGGTTACGTACTTCACATTGTCTCACTATTCTCACTATTTTACCCATATTGTTTTGTCACCATTCATTTAGATGCTCTGCCTCCTAAAGTTCTTGTCTGGGTTTTAGATTAACTGCTGTCAGATTATGTTTTTTAACTTTACTCATTAAAGAACAAACCCAGTCCCTCATCTGCATAAATTAGTGTACAACAGTTAAGGCCCAGTATCATTTCCCTTTAGTGTTATGATAATCTTCCTAGCTTTACAGACTTTGACATGGTACCTTTTCTTGGGATTGTTCCTGGATTAATTGGCAACTCAATTTTTCTTACTCTGTGTAGCCAGCCCAAATATATAATTCCTTTCTAAATTTAGAAAGGGGTCCTGGTATGGTGCTGTAGGGTAAACACTGGACTGCAAGGTCTGTTTGAACTGCTAGGTCATCACCGAACAACAACAAAACAATTTGGAAAAGCAACATAGGAAAGAAAAGTATATAAGCAGTTTACTATATCCATGGGATTTGGGGGTTTTGTTTTGTTTTTCACACCTTTACACATCTTGCTTATCTATAGTATTTTTGAAGTAAGTTAATTATCAAAATCCCTCAAGGATTCCTCTGTATGCTTTTCTATGTTTTGCAGGTGTTTGTTTTTGGTCCTGACAAGAAACTGAAGCTGTCTATCCTCTATCCAGCTACCACTGGAAGGAACTTTGATGAAATTCTCAGAGTAGTCATCTCTCTCCAACTGACAGCAGAAAAGAGGGTTGCCACCCCAGTTGACTGGAAGGTAAAGGGGAAGGGGTGAGGACCAGTTTTCAGGGTGTGTGTTACCTGGGCTCTGTGTCTAGCCTGCAGTTGTACTGGGATGGTTTTCCCCATGGCTGAGGCTAAGACTTACTGAGTAGATATTTTAAGTGCCTTCAACACCTTTTAAGGAGCTCTGGTGACACAATAGGTTAAAGCATTGGGCTGCTAACCAAAAGGCTGATAGTTCAAACCCACCAGCCACTCCATGAGAGAAAGATGAGGCAGTCAACATCAGACTGCCTAGGGAGCAGCTCTGCTCTATCCTACAGGGTCATTTGCTTTAGAATCACCTCCACTACGGTGGGATTTGGTTACCATCTTGTATGTAAAATCTTAGTTCCTTATATCGCTATCTAGCTTTTAAGATTATTTGGACAAATTAATTGGTCAGAATGATTCCTTTTCTTAATATTTTTTTAAAATCTTTACCTGACCTTTACCCCGAAGGCAAATGTTTATACCAAAATCATAATTGGTGACTTTCTTAAGTCTTGACTGTGTTAAGTATTTGTTGTCTTCATATCATGTTTCATTTCATTTCCCTTAAGCTTCCGTCTTTTAAACCAATGTAGAATTCTCTGAAACTTGTGTATGAACTTTTAGTCTCTAGGATTTCTGTAGTATGAAAGACATGGATAACAACATGAGAAAATGCTGACTTTGCCAGCCAGTAACTTAGGATACTTGAGGCAGCTCCGTGTGTGTCAGATGAAATGTTGCTCCCAGAGGGTTTCCACGGCTGATTTTTTAAAAGTTGATCACCAGGCCTTTTGTCTATAGTGCCTCTGGGTGGATTCAACCCTCCAACTTTCTGGTTGTTGTTGTTATGTGCCGTGGAGTCGGTTCCGACTCATAGCGACCCTGTACAGGGTTTCCAAGGCTGTAAATCTTTACAGGAGCAGAAAGCCTCATCTTTCTCCCACGGAACAGCTGGTAGTGTTGAACTGCTGACCATGAGAGCAGCAGCCCGATTTGTAACCGCTATGCTACAGCTGAATATGTTAACTATTTGTCCCACCGAGACACTCCCTTTACATCGCTACATTTCTTAAATACGCTAACCTGAATACCAGGTTATGTTGTCTCCTGTTTTTGCTGTTGGCAATTCATTGAACGTCTATAGCCATTTGAACATGTATTTGTTGAACTGCAGCAGTGGGCACTGGAGATAAGACTGGAGATGAGAGCATGATCAATATAAAATCTCTGTCCTCATAGAACTGACATGCTAACGATAGAGGCAGACTTAGTTATTAGTATATTAGGTGGGGATAAGTGCTGCTGGTGGGGACAGTAAGAGCGTAGGGATGGGAGGGTTGGCTTTATGTTTGACTGTGAAGCATGGTCTCTCTGTTAAGGAATCTTTGAGAAGGTCATGAAGAAATGAGTGGCCATGCTAGTCGTATTTGTGTGGGATGAGCACTCTAGGCAGACAGAACAATGTATACAAGGAACTCTACCTGAACATGAACTTGGTATGTTTAAGGAATAGAAGGAAAACCTGTGTGGCTGAAAAAGCAGCAGCAGAAGGTGGGTGAGGGTGTTGGAGATCAAATGGAGGCAGGAGGCAATCGTTTAGTTCCATGCAGGCCATGGGAAGGACTTAGAATGGAAATTTAAAGGTTGGAGGCACTCCATGAGTGGTTAACTAGCTTGGCTGTTAACCAAAAGGTTTGTGGTTTACATCCACCCAGAGGTGTCTCAGATGTAAGGTCTTATGATCTACTTGAAGACAATCAGCCATGGAAAACCCTCTTGGAGCACAGTTGTACTCTGACACATTTGAGGTTGCCATGGGTTGGAATTGACTCAACAGCAAGTGGTTATTTCTTGGTAAGATGGAGATATACTACCCTCACAAAAATGTCAAATGATCAACCTATGAAAACAAAGTTCCTCAGAGGGTAGAAGCAAAGAATACTTAATTATTCTCATCAACATCTGTAGCTACTTTTTAGAAGTTATTTCTTATTTTTAAGCATCGCTTGTTGTTAGGTTGCATTGAGTCAATATCAACTCATAGCAACCCGATGTACAACAAAACAAAACTAGATGATTGAATTTCATCTTTCCCAATGTCTTTCAATAGGATGGAGACAGTGTGATGGTCCTTCCAACCATCCCTGAAGAGGAAGCCAAAAGAATTTTCCCTAAAGGAGTCTTCACCAAAGAGCTCCCATCTGGCAAGAAATACCTCCGCTACACTCCGCAGCCTTAAGTCTTTCCGGGAAGTTGGTGCTGGAGCTGCTCACTTAGTATAGTGAGCCAGGAAATGCCAGCCACCAATCATGCATCAATCCCATATAAACATCCTGGTGTGATCACAGCCAAGGTCTTTAGGTTGTTGTAGTACTGGCTTATTAAATGAAAATGGCACTAAACATTGCTCGGGATTCTTGACTCTGTGCCTTCACCAGAATTACTTTCCACTCATGTATCTCAACATTGTGCTGGCTCTCTATTTGGCATATGGATTTGGGCCTCAGATCTGATTGGGTCTCTGTAAGGTTTATGATCAAAACCTGGTTTAACTTCATGATAGGTTGACTCTCAAGTTTGTAACTATCTTAATGAAATCTTCTCTTCTGTTACCCATTTTGGGGAGCAACAGAACTTGAGGTTCAATTTCCTCTGTAAGTATCTTAGTGTATAACTCGAGAACTTGGAGTAGCCTGGATATTCATCAGAATTCAGTGTTTTGGCCATAACTGGGGAGAAACTTTTTCAACTCTGCATTTCTCCAAGTAGGTGAGTGAAATGGGGAAAGGAGGAAGGAGGGATCTTTAAATACTTTGATATAAGGAAAAAAGTTGTGATAAATTTTTGTGAAAGCGGGGAAGCTATGGAAAAGACTCCCTGGACTGCCAGGGAGGTGTGAGCAGTAGGACAAGTGCCGTGTGCCTTTCACAGATTATTTCTGTGCATCGTGCACTCTGAGATGTTCCAGACATCAAAGAGCACACTGTGGGAGAGGAGGAGATTTAAAATAGTTTACAATAGAACTGTTCTTTCAGTGAGCGACTTATTTTCTGAATTTTGCTTTTTAGGGATCAAATAAAAACCTTTGTTGAAACTGGACCAGAGCATTGTGTTGTCACGTTTTGATTTAGTAGTATAGACTCATGTCCCAACGAGTAGAGATTTCCTTCTTGCTAGGATTGGTATTAGTACATTTTCTCAAGGATAAATATATAAACTGTCATATATTGAAAATGGAGAAGTTGAGGAAAATGTGCTTTTGAGTTCACCACACCTCTTGGCCCAATTTTCTCCACTTGCTAGACCCCGTAGTCCCATAAGTTTGTTCCCTAGTATGAAGAGCTCTCCCAGACCTTTACATTTCCTGATGCTTTAATAAGATTGCTGGGCTTGTGAGCATGAACTTGAGGATGATGGCACATCTGTGCATTTATAGAAGAATAAGTACATGTAGCCCCCAGTTTATGGCGGGGATCTGTTCCTACAATTCTAACCTAAGAAGATTAAGACATAAATAACTCTTTTTTTTTTTTTTTTTCTCTGTGTTTTAAATAGGAAATCATAACAGTGACAATCTGAGGATGATATCAGTAGCAAGCTCTTCACTATAACATTTATGTAAGACATACTACTGATATGACATAAAAAAAAAAAAAAAGGCCTGAGTACCGTTCATCATAACCTGACTATGTCATGATGTGGGTATTGCCTGTACTCTGAACTCATGGCCTCTTAAGCTTTATTATACTGTTCTGAAAGGAGTCCTGGTGTGGCACGGCAGGATAATGCACTGAATTGCAAGTTCAGCACACAGCAAGGTCAGCAGTTCAAACCCTCCATCTGCTTCTTGGAAACACTATATAGGGTTGTTAAGTGCAGTCAAGTGAGTTCAGACCCATAGCGATCCTCATGAGCTTGAACCCCAATAATAAATACTAGGTTTTGAAAGGTATCCTGTAGCTGATATGTAGCCCTGTGTGTATGTGTGTGTATTACTTTTTTTTGTAGTAGAAGAAATAGAAGCCCTGGTGCCACCTACTAAATAAGTCACTAAGCCTTGGAGCCTGGTGTGGCTCTCTATAGGATAAGCACTGGGCCATAAGGTCAGCAGTTGAAACTCACCAGCTACTCCTTTGAAACTATGAAGGATCACTATGAGTCATAACCTACTCAACAGAACTTAACAAACCTTTAGTTTTCTTAGTTTCTCCACATGTTAAACTTGGGTGAAACTAAGGTTGAGAATATAAGGTAAAACTCCCAATTTATACAGTAGTCTGAGGGGAGGGGGCAGGTCTGAAAGGGATTTCAGAGAGTTGCTCTCACCTCTTCCTGAAGTCACAATATATTTTTGCCCTTAAATGGATAAGCATCTGTTCTCTTGTAGCAGATAATCTTCCAACTAACTGTTCCCTTATTCACTGGCCCCTCATTGCTCTCTTCTCTTCCCCTGCAGTTGGTTTTCTTGGAGAGTATGGTTTCAGTTTTCTTTCCAACATTGACTACACAAACTTGAGCTTTGACTGACTGATAGGACATCTACCATTTTACAAATGGGCCAAGAGGTGTGGTGAACCCAATCCAGCAACTCTAACCTTAACTTGAATAAACCTCTTGCCCTGCTCAACAAAGAAAACTTTGGTGTTTTGTTTAAATATACCTACTCTGACCACATTGGTGTCAACATAAAAATGCTGGTAGAACTAAAGGGAAAGGGGCCATGTACCCTAAATAGAGTTCTGGCGCTGTTGCTAACTCATGGAGCCAAAAGATTTGTACAAGTATTCATTTTTTAAAATATAAACTATATGTGATGAATATGCCATTTCAGGCTAGAAATAATCTTACGTATATTTTTAAAATCCACTTATTGGCAGGGGTAGTACGATTCCCCTATTGAGAATTACTACTTGTTTTCATAGATTATATTGCATTATGCACCCAGACTTACTGAGAGTGCTGTAATATGTGAACACTGACTGGGAGAAGCAGAGGAAATTGAGAGGCAGTCCATATGACTTCTCAAAGAATTAGCAAATGCTTTGGTTTCAATAATACACCTGCTCCTCACCGATTTATTATCTGATATTTTGCGTTTATGGCAACTTTGGAAAAATTCTTAAGTGGTGTCTCCAATCACCCAGGTTCCACACAGGGCTGTTATTGGGCCCAAAGTGCCCCTCACAGGTCACCCCAAATAATACTGGAGGCCTTGATCATAACAGCCTCATGAAGGATGGCTGCTGACTGGCCACAAGACCTCCCATTCATCCACAATATCTCTATCTAGCCACAGAGCGTGGTAGATGGCAAGATGATATGAGGTCAGATGAAGTTCCAAAGGTGCCCTGGAGGTGAGGGAGGGGAGAGGAAAGGTTGCTACATGGGTTGCAGAGCCAAGGTGGATGGAGGACAAGCACTGTTTCAGCCTGGGGCAGGTGGCAACACTCAACCACCACCACCAGCACCTATGGAAGACACACTTGTGAGGAAGTGGGGAAAGGAACACCAGCACTGAAGATGGGAACCCCGAGTTTTGCATAATGCTGATTTTACATAACATGGTCTTTGAAACCTAACCCTGTCTGGAACTGAGAAGTGAGTATAGTTTTCGGAGGTAAGTGACGAGTCTGTGACTTGTGTGGTCTTGCCAAAAGCTGTGTGTGTCATCTCGTTTCCAACCTAAGGGTTGTTATTGTTAAGTGTCAAGCCATTTCTAACTCATAGCCCTGTACATGGTTTCCAAGAAGCAACTGGTGGGTTTAAACCACTGACCTTGCAATGAGTCCAGTGCTTATCCTACAGCACCACACCATGACTCCAACCAACGGGTAGGAATCCACAATGAGGAGAAACTGAGGGAATTAATAAGGAGCCAAATGTAAATAAATGACCATGTCAAGATGCTAATGATCAGATGCAGTGACTGAAAATAGTAATTTACTTAGACATCCATTGGACCACACCCCTTTGAAGCAAATGAAACTAGTTTAAAAGATGGGCCTAATAGGACCCTAACATCAGTTTGAATGGCAAGGTTGGTGGTTCAAATGCACCAGCTGCTCCTTGGAAACACTATGCAGGATTGCTGAGTCAGAATGACTCCAAGGCACTAATCAACAACTTGCTAAGGGCCATTACCACTACCTTGTCAGTGATTCAGAAATTGCATGTGATTCAGTTCTTACCAATGAACCAGAGAATTAATGGGGCTTTCTAGAATTGTTTCTGAGACAATTGGAAGCCAGATTTTGTGTCCCGCTGGATATGAAGTAGAAATCAGAAAGCATTGCTTGCCACTGACAACCATTTTATAACCCAAGTATGGGAAACCAGCCATAAATAAAGAAAAAAACTTCGGTTGACCATCAAAGTAAACAGAAAAAAAAACCCTGACCTCTAATGATCATTACTATAGTCTGTCAATCGCAAACCTTCTGACCCAACTTAGATTACATAAATTTATTTAATATACTGTTGTCTAACCGTCTCAAACATTAGGAAAATCTACTGCAGAAAAAAAAAAAACCTTTAAAATGTTTAAAAAGCAAAGATGTCACTTTGACAACAAACGTGCAGCTCACCCTAACTGAAATACCATGGTCTTTTCAGTAGCACGTTAAAGCCAAAAGGTTAAAAAAGGCAGATTGGGAGGCGGGGCTTGATGGCGGCGGCTAGGGTGGAGGTGCAGTGAAGTTCATCAACAATACCATAGGATATCAGGCAAAGCAGATCCAGGGCAGAGCTCCAAAACTCGGAGCCACAGACATAGGAATATTTTAAAAGTTTGAAGGCTTATAGCTAGTGGAACTTGAAGCTGAAGTAAGAAATTGTGTACTTTTAAATCTGCCGGGCTCGGAGGCCCAGAGCCGACATCTTGGGCAAGACCAAATGACAAGACCAAGTGGGGGAACAGAAACGCCGCAGGAACCTTGGAGCAAAGGTAGACAATACACTTTGTTGGTTTTGCTTTGTTTTGATCTTTGTTTTTGGAGT